GATTTTAGGCCTATCTTCCTGATTGTTGTGTATCCTGGGAGGTTATAATTACTTTTGGGCCCGAAGTGGGTTTCCTGAATTAGGATGACTTGGGGGTTATTTGTTTTAGCTTGGTAAGGGCTTTTAATTCGTTGCCGTGGGACGGGAGCCCACCCGCGTTCCATTGTATTATTTGCATGAATGTTAATATTAGGTTTATTGCAAGGATTATTTGATAGAGGTAGGCCCCACCCATGGTTTTATTGAATTTGGGCTTTAAGGTTATTTACTTGGGTGGTGAGTTGGTGGGGCACCAGGGTGGTTGCTAAGTTTTTGCTAGTTTAAATATTTTGCGAGTTGATATATTGGGGGCTGAAGCTACTGTGGCTATGAATATAACTAATTTGTTAGAGGTGGTGTTTTTTGGCAAAGGGGAGTAGTTAATTTTGAGCTTAGTAGTTTGGTAGTTTTAAAGGTTGGTTTAGATTTGGTTGTTTTTGTTTGTTGGTTATTTGGTGGTTGGTTGGGGATGTTGGGGTAGGATAGGAACGTTTAGCCGGGGGTTGGGAGCAGGAAGGCTTAGACGTTGTGGAGGGAGGGTGGAGGGGGTTGGGCTTGGGGATGGGATGGGTTTTGGGGCGGGTGGTGGTGGGAGGGTTGGGTTTTGGCGGTGGGTTGGTTGAACCTTGGGAGGGGGTTGGTACGACCAGCTTGGGGCGGGGTGGGTGGGGGGAGTAGATGGGACTGGAGGGGGTGTGGAAGGGATGGGGAAATGGGGGTTTGGGGTGGGGAGGAGGGAAAGGGTGAGGGTGGGGAGGGTTATTTTGCCTAGTTTTAGGGTTATAGTTAGGGTATATTTTGGGGTTTAAGACCTTTTTTATGTATTTTGAATGGACACTGGCTGCTTGCTGAAGTATGCCCATGGGATTGACAGAAGATGCAGTAGGAGATGCAGTTGGGACTGTCCTCGCCACTACACTGTCCGCTTCCACATGTGGTACAGCGTTTGGGGAGCGGTGCATTCAGAGGTTGTGTGGTTGTATTTTAGGCAGTTAAGGCATTGGGTTAACCGTTTTGCGCATTGTTGTACTGACCTAGTGTATGCGCCGAAGTGAATGTGGGACGGTAGGTTTGGGGTGCCGAAAGTTAAAATGACTACCCTGGTATTTATTTTACTACCCTCCGAAGCGGTGCGCGTGATGCGTGATGCCGATAGGATTTTGGGTTGGTTAGAGATTTTGTTTGCTTCGGTAAGGTAGTATTGGTAAACAAGATAATTTACCCCCTAAAATGTAGATGAATTCTGCATCGGCCCTCAAAGCTATTCCTCATATGACGTCACAGAGTCGCGCCGCTCTGATTGGTTGAAATTTCGTTCGCGGGTGAGAATTGTGCACTGTTGTCAAAAAGGTCGATTTAAGTCAATTAAAGGTCGAAATGAGTAGTTTTAATGACGGGGTTTCATTTATAACGATGCCAGTTAGTGATTTATGTGACCTTTAACCGCCCCACTATGACAAACAGCAGGTTTATCTCCTGACCCGATAACGTTTCCATACTATGCATATCAACTATGTCAGGCCAGGCGATTAGATAAACATGATATGATTCGCGAACCATAATCTGTCTATCGCACTGTATTTGTAGATTGTTTCGTGTGTGAATATGGAGAGTGTTTAGTGTAAATACGCTTGATAATGCATTACGTGTTGATTGATGTTTGAGACGCGACCAATATGTACAAACTGAAAAAGATGCAGGTGCTTCTAATACAGTTTGGTAAACTACTTTATAACATTAGACACAACAAATACACTGGCAAAACCTATACCTGGTAACAATGTCAATAGGGAGTGTCACCAGGTACAGGTCCCATTGATAACACATATATTGATATAGCTCAATTCCTTTCTTTTGTTAAAGGGTCGATGTGGTCTAGTGGTTAATGCGTTCGCTCTTCACGCCGAACACCCGGGTTCGATTCCCCACATGGGTATAACGTATGAAACCCATTTCTGGTGTCCCGCGTCCTGATATTGCTGGAATATTTCTAAAAGTGGCGTAAACCCATACTCACTCATGCTTCTGTTAAAGGGTCCGTAACAGATGATCACGTGTAGATCATCAAGTGGAATCACATCTCTCACAAATGATGTAAGAACTAACGCTTTTTCCCAACCAGATAGAATGCCTACGTAAAACCGAGGGTTAACAAATGTCTGTACATTCACACGGTTATTGCCATGTCCTGTTGAAGCCACCCGATAATCTGTGCTGATGTGTTAACTTCCTGGTTTCCGGGGCGGTGGGGTAGCTCAGTGGTCACGCCGAGGGCCCGGGTTCCATTGCCCGCATAGATACAACTTGTGCAACCTATTTCAAATGATCCCCGCCGTGATATTGCTGGAATATTGCTAAAACTGCTAAAACCCAACTCATTCACTCACTCTGGTATGTGAGCTGTCGGCGATGTCGTTATCCACCAGCCTTAGGCCTTCATGGTGTTAAGAAAATGTAACAGGGTTGAAACCACTTCGACCCTGGTTCTAACAGGAGCCGCATCCATACAGCCCAGCGCTCACATATTTACAGTGAGATTCTCAGTGGATCCGCATCACCCATCTGCATCTCCCAGAGAACAAAATCCTTTGTATTTTCATGCATTAAGAGCAGTAAATCACTAGCGGTTCTTTTTTTCCCTTTTTTTCGGACACCGGGTGTCGTCAATGAGTGTCAGTGATCCTTGTGGTCCACAACTGTTTTGCCGTTTACGTCAAATGGAATCTGGTGCGGCAGATAATGAAGAATGACTTGAGTCTGGAGTCAAACTAACGTTTATATGTTTAGAATTACGAGGGGATTTCAAAAAGTAGTCAGCCTAACTATATGCTCGATGTCCAATGTTTGACAAGCTTACATTTTATTTTGAAGGAATCATTTGCAAAGCCATATCCAAAATATCACACGTGTGGATAATGTGGATTAACGAGATATTAGCCATCACAACACATTGGAGTATAATATTTCTTTAAAAAGTTCAGAAAATGAAGAACGATCTGTCATTTGGTACTTCTTGGACAATGGTATGCCCTCAGATAATATCATATAAAATATCTTCAGTATAGAACTGGATGACTTCCCGTCATAATCAACATTCAAAGATTTTGATTTGCTTGATTTATATTTAGACGGGGGCTGTTTTCTAAGGACACTCCCATTTTAATCTTTCAAAAACATTGTGTCCAGATATTCAAGCTGGCCCTGTTTACAATATATTGAGAGCTGACACTTATGTGACCATTCAGTATTTAGTTTGAACCCTTGGCATCATGTATGAATAAGTGAAAACATTAGAATAAGTTATGTCCTTATGCTTACGTCATCTGAAAGGGGGTTGGGTAGTGTCTCCAAAACAAACTCTTTCAGTAAACATGAGTCACTTTAAATTGCAATTGTAGTTTCCAATTGCCTTTTCATGCAATAAAAAATTCAAACAAAATAGGGATCGTGAGGCTGGAATATAGCAAAACCAATCTGCTTGATGGTGACTGATAAAGTGCATTTGTATGATTTTCTAGGTGATGCTGACTACTTTTTAAGCGCCCTTTGTATCAGTGTACTCTATAGATTCCACACGCACACTCTTAATGGGAATAGTAACGATGTGAATATCAACACATTTACAACTTTGAAAAATATACGATTATGTCTAGCACCAAGGGTGATCACTCACAAGATCATGCATATTTTGAGATTTAACTTTCACATGTCACCACGTTATCAGCGGGTCATCGTGACTAAATATTGCCTCTATCACAATAAACCAGTTTATACAAAATCCTCGAAACTTGTCGAGGCAATTGATTTTCAGTTTAAAAAATGCGTGCATCAGTTGCATTGACCTACCAATGACAGTACCGTATTCAACATAATACTATGGGCACTTCTTTTAAGGACAGACCTTCATTGTGAGGTCATTGTAGTTTGAACCTCCACGGACTGTTGATTTTAACATATTTTATTCACAAATGTGAAAGGGATTGGGGACAAGTTATCCAACGTAAAATACCCGCTCCCTAATATTTACATACGTACATTTTCACTTATATACATCTTAGGAAAGAATAGAGAGAAGAGAGGGAGGGACACAGCTTATGTGATCACGGACTGTTTGCCAATGGACCTGTGGTAATTTAGCGTTAACACATCCTTGATCACTTGGTCAATCATTGAGATGTTATTATGAAAATGTCTCGAAATGGTAATTGTAGAAAGATTACTATAAAAGGCACTCTATAATTTTGGTGTGCATTTGATTTCCGGGTCGTTTTTTCTATCAAGGGCCCGCCGACAATCAGAATTTTCAAGTTCAAGATTAAATTGTCATGAAGATCATAAACAATAATTCCGTGTTTATTGGTGACAGGAAGTCCCCAGAGTCTCCGACAATAATGTTTAAGTTGTCCGTCAGTGTTTCCATTCCGTCATTGCAAGTTGAGTTTAGTTTTTATCAATATTACAGCAATATCACGACAGGGGACACCAGAAATAGGCTTCACACATTGTACCCATGTGGGGAATCGAACCCGGGTCTTCAGCATGACGAGCGAACGCATTTACCACTAGGCTACCCCACCGCCCATACCGTCATTGCAAGAATGCGGAGTATAAGTTCCTTGGTTTAGGATCTCTTCGACGTCACGTATCCTGTCTCTCGTCCAATAGAAAGACCATATACAGTCTACAATTCTCATTAGAAAATGACCGCTACTGGGACGAATATGTCTCACTCCAAAGGAAACTTACTGCAGCAGGGCGCTTATAAGACGAATACGGTTTGCAACCATATACAACGGAAAACACGTTGGTATTCCTATAAGCTCCGATGCAGTGCGGTTCTGTAAACACCATACACAATAGATCCTCTACAGGATGACATTACTAGGGTAGATAGACCTTGCCCCTTGAGATAGGATTGTCGCAAGATTAAAACCTGAACTTGATTTGTCAATAGATATTTCAACATGAGAACATGCCGTACAGCTCGTCACAGGAAACCGACAGGCAAGTTGATGATATTTACCTCATCATGATAGCAATTCAGTGAGTAGAAAAATGGCTAATACCCTTCGTTTTACAAATACGCGGGCGAAGCTATCATTTTACTGTGATGCGACAGTAAACGGAGTTGCGTCCCATACATCTCGCTGGACAACTGGCAGAAACACGCTATCCATCTGAATCAGACCCACAGGCAATTATTGTAAAACAGAATATATCGAGCAACGTTTATTAGTCTGTCTCATAGTCCTGTCCCCCCTTTATTTCCCCAATTGCCTAGCCCTCGCTGCAATTCTTAAGCCCTAAATGAAACAAGTCTAGATTTCCCATTTCCCGAATCTCCCAATTCACTGGGGCTCCTAATCAATTTAAATGGGTAAATTTGTTTCTATCAAAATTATATAAGCGTTAGTCTACGAGCATCGTAGCGTGTACTGTAGTGTATGTTGATTACTTCCCTCCACGGAGACTTTAAAGGCCACATGCAACCAAAAAATCAAACATAATTAAAACACAATTATCACTTATTCATGACATATAACATACATTGCTGATTATGAAAAAACATATAAACAAAATTATAAGTGTACAATCGCAAATCAAAAGTGCAATATTGTGTACTTGGGTTTACTTCCCCAGAAACGAAGCAGCCGGGATACCGAACCCAGTCAGAGCGGGTGGGTGTGCACTCAAGTGTAACGGCTGGTTCATTTGCATATGTCCTCACGGCTTATTGTGTGTGTATATGTATAGATGTTGGGTTTTGTAAATAGATGCTCATTTTTTGTGTATAACATTTTGCAATCAACAGACATCATAACATGTCATGTGTACAAGTATCACACCTGCCTGTCTGTGTAATTACATAATGTGACAGAGACCGTACTCGGGTCATAAATCAATGCGTTTTGTTGATGGTGTATAGCCTGATAGGTGTTAAGTTCAAATTGCATGTGGTCAGTGATCGAAGTTGTGTATTGAATATTGTCATTAGCAGACGGGCAGACAAATAGGTGTCAATAAAACGGACATTGAGTTTTGTCTGTGACAACGACATATCCATATCACAGTTAGAAATTCTGTCAACGCTAAATAATGACATTGCCGAACTGAGAAAGTGACTCGGTAAGAAGAACGTGTGGTGAAATAGACAAATGAAATTATATAAACAGTTAAATCGGTAATCTACTGTAATAACATATAAAAAGCTCGCGCCTGTGAAATATCAACAAAGCATTAGAAAAATAGCTCACACCAAAGCCTTCACCGAGTATTCACCGGACAACCCGCTTCCAAGCTGCGCGAACCTATTTCACTGCGCATGTGCTATGAGTGCAGCCCAGCTGTTGAAACCACTTCAATTCCCCCAAGCGCTGGGGTAAAATTAGTGAATCGTTTGAACTCCGATTTCGCGCGGTTTTTTTCATCGCGTTATTTTTCAACTTTATAAGTTGAATTTGCATTTTTGATGATTTGTTTCCGTAAGTCCAGACCGAAAGGTATCAGAATCTGCAAAGTTGTGTTTTACGTTGCATGTGAGTTGCCCTGGCTACTCTGCTGTCGTCAACGCCTACTTATGAGGACCATGTGCGTGTAATGTGTCATCAAGCTCGGGATGTTACTGTCAATCATTGGATTAGTTGTTCCTGGATTATTTACCTTCTGACTTGGTATAGCTGGAATTTTCCTGACTGCGTTGTAGAATAAAATCCGCTCTCTTACAAGTTTATACTGACTGACTGAGTGTGGTTTTACGCCGATTTTAGCTTCCAGCAATATTACGATGGGGGACACCAGAAATAGGTTTCACACATTGTACCCATGTGGGGAATTGAACACGGTCCTTCGGCATGACGAGCGAACGCTTAAACCACTAGGCTACCCCACCGCCCCTCATACAGGTTTATACACGATGTAACCAGTATAAGTGATCTGTGACTACCTATTCTGCTTTTTTTCTGACATTTTCAACTCCGTTCTTCTTAAATATTGCGAATGACCATACCAGTACTTGAGTGGCACTGTTTTTGTTTTTGTGAATAGCGCAATCTCATGACAATAAGTCACGTTTCATTGAGAATAAAATAGGGACACTTCCATATGGAGGTGAACTGTATACACCAACATGGTCCAAATAAATAATATGTGGGTACTAGATTGTACCCATTTCGGGAATCGAACCCGGGTCTTCGGCGTGACAAGCGAACTTTTTAACCACCTGCCTATGCCGCAGCCCCTCCGAAAATGATAACAAAAACATCGGCACCTGATGATAATAGTTCACATACGTCATACCCCCTCGTTAGAGAGTTGTGTAGGATTCTGATTTTATGCAAAAGGTGAATAGCGATATTTATATTTTATTAAAAAAGATCACACCATAGATCATCCTGATCAACCCCTTGACCCTCAAACCACACTTAAATAGGTAGTTTAGTAGCCTCAGTATTTTTTCGGGGCAGTGGGATAGCCTAGTGGTAAGAGCGTTGGATCGTGACGCCGAAGACCCGATTCCGATTCCCCACATAGGTACAATGTGTGAAGAACATTTCTGTGTCCTCAGCCGTGATGTTGCTGGAATATTGCTAAAAGAGGCGTAAAACTAAAACTCACTTATTCAATAGTTTATGATAATATCACGTGTTTGTTCCAGTGTTGATCATCGCGGTGCTCTTCATTGTCCTTGTCTCCGAGACGAAGATCCCAGCTTATGTAACCAGACTGGTTTGTAAGTAGCTATGAACACAGCCATTGAAGGGGTATATTCATGTAATGTTCACCCACAATTCAAACGCTTTTTATCAGAATTTCGTTCCCCTATGGCTATGTAATGTCTCCATACAAAGATACAAAGCAGAATCGAGCATGAGACTTTAGATTGAAATGTAACAAATGAAACTTAAGGCATCCAGAAGAGAGACATGTTCACATGGAGCTGCGGTAAGGTACCTTGTCGTTTTGAGGATGTTATTAACAGGAGACACGTGAACTGAACAATGTTTGTTTTGTTTCAGTTGGAAGAGGACTTTTTTGACTTTTCCCACCTGGAACAGTTAGTGGACCTGATACAACCAGGTGAAATATATACTTCTTGTACACCATGTAACTGACATTCTCAAAACAATTCATTATAGAAAGGTGTGCTGTCGGTGAATGCTTCCCACATTTCCAGGGACAGAGGCTTTAGCTAAGGGTTACTTCACATATACAAACATACACGCGCCCAAGCACACACAGAAACACTTTCAAGAATACGCACACGAGCACGGTTTCATGCACATGCAGACAGACTACTGCAGCTTTTAATGACGTGCTATGATACGGAGTCGAGACTTATATGAGACTCTGTGTTCCAGTTCCCCTTCAGAAAGTCAGTTTTGATGTTTTGTTGGAGGACTACACAAGGAAAATACAAGGTAAGCATTTGTTTGTGTTTATGTTGTTTTTAAAACACTGAACTCGAGTGCTAAATAGCGGCGATCTGTAAATAATCGAGTCTGGACAAGACAATCCAGTGATCAACATCAGAGAGCCTGACCCCACCGTTCCCGTTAGTCGCCTCTTACTACAAGCAATGTGATTTACTGGCAAATGTAACAGCAGAAAACATGTTACTCATATATCAAGAAAGTATTTTACACATATATCATTGTGATTGGCATATTGATTTTCTGTTTTTGGTTTAGAGTGTGTTTACGCATGCTCATATTGGCATATTGATTTTCTGTTTTTGGTTTAGAGTGTGTTTACGGATGCTCATATTGGCATATTGATTTTCTGTTTTTGGTTTAGAGTGTGTTTACGCATGCTCATATTGGCATATTGATTTTCTGTTTTTGGTTTAGAGTGTGTTTACGCATGCTCATATTGGCATATTGATTTTCTGTTTTTGGTTTAGAGTGTGTTTGCGGATGCTCATATTGGCATATTGATTTTCTGTTTTTGGTTTAGAGTGTGTTTACGGATGCTCATATTGGCATATTGATCTTCTGTTTTTGGTTTAGAGTGTGTTTACACATGCTCATATTGGCATATTGATTTTCTGTTTTTTGTTTAGAGTGTGTTTACGGATGCTCATATTGGCATATTGATTTTCTGTTTTTGGTTTAGAGTGTGTTTACGCATGCTCATATTGGCATAGTGTGTTTACGCATGCTCATGACACAGTCGTAATTGTACAATTGACTTTGCTTTTATTAGATATTTATTCTGGATGTGGAAAGGGTTTTGTCGCTTTTATTTTGATGGGGCATATGGTTCATTTTACGGATTCCGCTAATTCATAATGTCTCGGCCTGAGAATAATATCTGCTTAAACAGTTTCCATAAGATGAAATAATTGCAAAGTAGTGATGAAAGTATTAGGAACTGTTCATAGAAAACCAGTGATGACAACAGGTGTTCGCCTAAAGGGTTCGCATGTCCTACTCTATTGCTATCAAACGCCACACACACACCTAGTCCAATACCAAAGTAAGTGCGAACGAATGAGGAAATGTGTAAACGCCATAGCATATGATAGCACTACGTCATAAATACAGGACACATTTAGTAAATTACTCTGCAGTCTAACAATTCTGGAACAGCTTGTACTGGCATATCACGATGAAACACTGATGAAGAAACCTCAGTACGTTTGAACTGATGGCTTATAGAGGGACATGGCAGAAACATTCACGACCAGAAACACGTTATCGTCCACCTCTCTGGTCGTACACCTTGGTCATTTTAATTTTCTATACACAGATCAGATGCGACACTGAATGTGATATCTCCGTAAGAAATGACTGGGGCCTATAGTTTCCCTTGGGTGTTTTCGGCTTAGACTCACATTGTAACCGTTGTTGTTCAAGCGTTCTACAGCCATGTCTGTTTCGTGAATTCAACTAAATTTATTTCAATCAATGTCACAATAAAGGACCAGTCTCTTTTTGTTGGTTTGTTGTTTTACGCCGCACTCAGCAATATTCCAGCTATATGGCGGCGGTCAGTAAATTAATGGAGTCTGGGACAGACAATCCAGTGATCAACAGCATGAACATCGATCTTCGCAAATGGGATACGATGACATGTGTCAACCAAGTCAGCGAGCCTGACCACCCGATCCCGTTAGTCGCTTTTTACGACAAGCATGGATTGTTATATATCCTCGAATTAGGGTTTTCGGACACTCAAGACCCATGGATAACTATACAACATCTCACTAAATTATGAAAAATAACTTTATCCTAAACACAAGCTATCATTCAAGAATTTGCAATGTGTGTGTAAGCACTGAAGTCCGAAAACGCATGACATAGGAAACCTATGATCCGGTGATATATGAAACCGTTTTTATTTTTAGTTGCTACGGGAATTTAGAATAATCGACATGATTGTTTTGTTACAGAATTACAAGCCCATGGCCTATGGAAGAAAAGTGTCGTGAATCCATGTGCACAGGAGGCGAACCACCCAGGTCAGTGTCTCTACCTCAGATCTGTCGCTTGCTTTAGTGCCTTAGGAATAACATTTAGCCCCCCCCCCCACGTAAGTGTACCAGGAACATGTTCTATAGCCAGATCCGGAAGGACTGGAAGATTGGGTTCGGGCCTATCGGCAGTTCCAGCTGATATGACTCTAGACACTCGAAACAGACTTTGTGTGTCTGGCATGTCATTCTGGCAATATCTGGAAATATACAGAAAACTGAGTAGTACTCCCTTACCTGTTGATATGTCAGCCCCGCCGTGCTCCTGTTGTTTCGTGTGGTCATTCTCCTGGGGTTTGTTTTTCTGGGAATATGGTTCCGAGTTATTCAACATCCCATCCTTCCTTTGAACAATAATCACACCGGTTGCTTAAGACTATTCAATGATCAAGGAGCATGGTATTATCACGTACCGGGGTGTAAGGACGTTCATTTCACTAATTTCCCAAGAAAGACTTGTGATGCCATTCGCCAGTTCGGGTACATACCATTTGTTACTAAAAATGTGTGTTATGTACATCGATCTGCTAGTGTGTTGATTTCGTTCCTGTCCCCAGGCAAGGCATGTGTTGAGTCCTCCTGTCCTCGACCCAAGCCTACAACACACGAGGACAACCTGAGAAGCGTCTTGTCCACAATGTCGGAACTCAACCATCAGCACCTGAGCCTCATGCTGGGGCTGTTCCCAGAACCTCCCTCGGGCAAGAGAGTCATGTTTGCAACTGCAGCTTCCGAAAACCACTTCAATGAATCTCAGGGTCTCATCCGGAACCTCCATCAGAATGTCTTTCCACTCATCAGTAACTACACATTCGTGTACTATGATCTAGGACTGCTACCATGGCAAAGAAACAAGGTGACTTGATTACAAGACGTGGACTGTGATAACAAGGACAGTCGACTCTGTTTGGAAGATAGTCTAAGCATATTACAAAACGGCGGTTACACGTCAGTGGTAATCAACATTGCACGAACGAGGATGAGACCATATCGATTAAAGTCCGAACGCTGAGGCCAGCTGCATGGACCACTTAACTACCCCGTACCACACAAACCAATAGTTTTAGTCTAGTGGACAAGCGGTCAGATTACGATAAAGCTGTGCCTGGTGGTTATAGAGAGTTTATGTATTTCCAGAATAGGAGTCACTAGCTTGGGGGAGCCTGGTTGAGTTCGATCCGATTCGCATGTAGACATTTAGATATTACTTTTCACATAAAATGCATTCCTAGTCTCTATTTATAGGTGCTGCATGATTTACTATTCAACCAACAACAGGGTCATAGCAGATGACAATGCATTGCAAACACGTATTGTGCACACCCCAATCACTGTACAATATATATGCACACAGCAAACAATACAAAACCAAACACTATCGGCACCTAACAATGCATCAGACAGAGGGTATTTTGGGGGCCATGTCAAATACTATGTTAAGCTCACCCAGAGACATGATCAAATTCAATGAGCTCAGATAAATGCAGGAAAACACTAAGCTTATTGTGTTGTGAGATGGGTTATATCTGGTTGTGGACAAGAAGAATGAAATATTCTGTTTATGGTGTACATTAATACTGATCTTGTTCTGAAATGAGTCAAAACATTCCCGAGTAACCTCTGTCAGATATATTTCAGATATTTGAACACCAATTTGCTGCACTGAGTACTGTATTCCTTATTACTTTCTGAGCATATATATGCTGAATAATTATACACAAAGCGTAATCACATCTGTAATTAATAATGAAAATAGTTGTGAGCAGGAAACAAACTTCACTGATATCGATAAGTATTCATGTCATATACTTTTGCTGTACTTACAACCACAGTTGGTGATGGATTGTCGTTGTGAACTGAGACGTTTCCCGGTGAAGTTGATGCCCCCGAGGCTGCAGGATCTACAGTGCTACGCATGGAAAGCTTTCATCATACAGGTATGCTGTGTGTTCAATGATATGACATGCATGTGAGTGTTTGAACGTGTCTGACATCAGTTGAAGCAGCTTCTGAACCTGACAATCATCCGCAATACATGAGTGAGTGAGCATGGTATTACACCGATTTTAGCAATATTCCAGCAATATCATGGCTGGGGACACTAAAAATGGGCTTCACACAGTGTACCCATGTGTGGAATAGAGCCCGGGTCTTTGGCCTGACGAGCAGACTCTTTAACTACAAGGCTACCCCACATGGGGTAGAAACAAGAAAAACCATGAAGGTGTATGTGTACAGGAAGTGTAAGCGGCGTAAAACCATACTCACTCACAAAGTACACATTGAAATTGAGGATTGCATTGACACTTGCAGTCGTGTACAGTAGTACGCCATAAGTGAGTCATCATTAGTGACATTTCCATAGACTTAATAATAATAAGGGTAGTTGTATTGCGCAATACTCCATACCATAAAGGGGCATGCTCAAAGCGCGCACAAATGTTTAAAAACAAACACATCCAAAAGTCATATGAATCAGTATTGCAGTAAATATGAGCTTGGAGAGAGTTACTGTTTATATCGACTGAAAAGGTATGTTTTGAGGTTACGCTTGAGCACTTGAAGGGATGAAGCTGTACGTAATTTAAGTGGAAGTGAGTTCCATAGTGCGGTTGCAACTGAAGCAAAAGAACGGGCACCAAATGTCTTGAGGTTGAATGATGGAGGATCCAGCAGGTGTTGGTTACTGGATCTGTAGGCACGAGCAGGAGTGTATGGTGTGAGAAGATCACACAAGTATGAGGGGGCCGTGGAGTTAACACTTACATGTTAATTAAATTTGAGTTATGGTGCTTAACCAGGTGTCATTCGATAACTAATCAACGGGAAGATGAAAGAAAATTATGTACACGTAGCTGAAGATGATTTCTAAGATGTTTGTACAATATCAAAATAAAATGACTTCTACTCAGTTTATGTAAATTATTCTTGCAAGACTTGATTCACATGCAAGTCTATCGGAATTTCACTAATGATGACTCACTTATGGCCAACTACTGTATAGAAAGTCAATTTAGTGAACAGCAACTACTGTTACAGCGTAATACTACATTACTGTTTTCACAATGGTTACAGGTATTTGTTAAAATATTTGAATTTAATACAATATTAGGTATAAGATGCCATTTAGCTAATAAATAAATTTTTTAATCCTTCTATTCGTCTCAACTGGCAATATTTGATTTCATGTTCAAACGTTAACCACGATATATATATATATGAGAAGTGAGAGTTCTTCATCTCTTACAATGTTATGTTAAAACGTATCAGGTGGTGTTGTGTACATGCTGGTCTATGTAATCAACGGCAGCAGTGGTAAACGTAGTAATTTGTAATCAATCACATATGTAATTCAAATACATGCCTTACGCTCATGGAAATAAGGTCTTGTATATTTGGCTTTATATATGTGAACCTTTTACTTTAAAATGGCATAGAAATTTGGGAGTGAGATTTGATAGGTCAAGTCAATAGGTATAATATATACCAGTTTAAATTGAAGCATTGAAATGTTGAGGTGTGTAGATACAAGTATACATAATCTACTGTTGTAATAGTTTTTTAACAGTTATAATATTGCTAAACTGTTTTTCACAAATGTCGCTTATTTATTATGACGAGTACTTCTGACAATATTCGTTAATTATTGATTACAAAGTCAGCTTTATGACGTGCCAGTTTGGCGTGGATGGAAATCACTTAGTGACACAGGTCATATAGGTTATCACATTGGTGGATTCCATGAGCACGGAAATCGGGGATTCAAACCTATGCTAATAAGGTCTTGGAATGACTAAGGGTACTTACCCAACATATATTGGGTTGTCGCACTGTAGACCAGTTTGCAGTAGCCTAAAATGTTAAACGTCGTTTGTGATCGTTATAAAACATCACAGTAACAAACATTTTGTTGGGAACACTTTCTTTTGTGACACAGATCAGATATTTTTGGTTCCATCATAAAACATCCAAGGCATATATGATGAATAATGTCAACAGAACAATTCCTAAAAGAGGCCTAAGTCTTCCTTAAATGTTTGCTGGAAGGTTCGGATACTGCCTTTCATATATCTGTTTCTTTTTCACTCCCATGTTTTCCTCAGGCCAACCTCCCAAAGGCAGACATCTTGGTGTGGATGGACTCGTCTGTGCGGTTCTGGAACAAGACCATCCCTCAGCTGCTGGATGACGTGGAGAGACGAGGCATTGTCACCTACGCTGACATCCACTCAGTGGCGCAGCATACCCTGGCGGAGACAATGAACTACATGAAAGAAGACGTGTGTAGTCTCGCGCCAGTCGCTGAAGACCACGGTGGCTTCCTGTTGCTTCACAACGAACGGTGGATCCGTGAGGCTTTCATCAAGCCTTTGGTGGCATGTGCCATGAGCCCAAAGTGCATGTGTCCGCGAAATCCAATGGACGTCATTATCTGTGACACAGGCATTCACAAGTACAATAAATGTCATCGCTTTGATCAGTCTGCAATCAACATCATTCTCAGTAAACTGTTTCGAGATCACAAAAGCAGCTTTCACTCGCCCTACAACGAGTATCCAAATGTCACATTGGCTAGGTGAAATGCAGAATGAATGGTAATGGGGTAGAAGTACTGGAACTATTGAACATTCGAGTAATGTTGTAGGTGGCGACGGGCATTAATACCACATAATGGTTTTGTGTCTCCTGTTTGAGAAATAACACGTATCAGCTCAAAGCATTGCATTTTTTCGTGTGGCGGGTAATATTAGTAGGCCATTTCCGTTCTACCTAATATCAAAATATCATTTGATCCATATAAATTCCATCATTGGAAAATTTGAGTATATTTTTATCTGGCGATGATTATTTATTTATATAAGTTTATACAATATTTCCTGAAGCCATTCGGAGTCTAACAGCTGATGACTAATTAGACAATTCAAATACGCTAGCAGAAGAATTAACTGTGCTTTATATAAAGATATAAAACTGAAATTTACAACTTGCTATTTAGTCATTCGTCGGATCAGCATTTACCCGTGAAGGTCCGGGTAAGAATTGATCTTCAGTAACCCATGCTTGTCGTAGAGGCGACTAACGGGATCGGGTGGTCAGGCTCTCTGACTGGGTTGACACATGTCATCGTATCCCAATTGCGCAGATCGGTGCTCATGCTGTTGATCCCTGGATTGTCTGGTCCAGACTCGATTATTTACAGACTGCCGCCATATAGCTGGAATATTGCAGAGTGTGGCGTAAAACTAAACTCACTCACAGATCAGCATTTCATCATAACAAATTCATTGACAGAACATTTACCTAATTATATCAGACAGAGCGACGCGACCGAAACGAAGGGGAACACTAACCACATTAACAGTGAGTGATTGAGTGAGTGAGTGAGTTAATATTTAACGTCACATCGGCAATATTTCAGACATATCGTGACGAGAACATTTGAGTGACGTTAACAGTATCACTGTCGGGAGCGACCACAGTTTGTGATGATTTATGCGAGGCTGTGGCGAGGCATTACAGACACCCGACGAGCAAAATAACTTGAGGAATTACATTATAGAACAGGATTGCATTGTTTTTGTAAAGATTCACTCAAAGGGACTGTTCGTAGTTGCTATATACACACACTTTTTGGGCCTAGGGTGTTCTTAAATATTGTGGAACAGCATGGAATAACACAGCTCAGTAACGAAATTCTGGAAGCTTTTTATGACTATACAAGAGGACAAACGCAAGCCTCTATCATCTCACATTACATCAAGATAAACGGTCGCATAAAGATCAATAGTATTTCCCTAGATAGTCAGCCTATTTTGGGAAGCTTGATGAATGTTCATCGTCTTTCTTGCTCTTATGCTGTTAACACTACTATATATTTTACTGCATTTGTAATTGTACTGCCTTCGACTATTATACTGGCACTCCATTATGCATCACCACTGTAAGTACCTTGCAGTAAGTGTTGTTGACTTTTAAATTTAGAATACAACCGTTCATTTTATTGATTAATCTTTCTGTGTTGTGTCATATTTTTACAATGAATTCCTTCTGTGTACATGTATCATGTTACAACATGGATATCAACACATTACATAAAGTTTTTCATCCAAGGATTGGCTCAATTGGTGTTCCTGGCTGGTTCTGGTCCTGTCATAAGCGTCGTTCCATCTGAACCCTGTTCTATGGGTGTTACAACACGTGCATCGCAACGTTACGTCTCAGCACTTGCACATACTCTAGAACATGATTTCGAAAAATGACGCATTCAACACGTGAAGATCCCGGTTAGAACTGGTCTTCAGTAACCCATGCTTGTCGTAAGAGGCGACTTATGGGATGGGGGGTTGGGGTGTTTCGGGCTCGCTGACTTGGTTGACTCATGTCACTGTATCCCAATTGCGTAGATTAACCACTGGATTATCTGGTCCAGACTTGATTATTTACACACCGACGCCATATAGCTGGAATATTGCTGAGTGCGGCGTTAAACGAAAAACAAACCACCCAAAATATGACGCATTCACATTGCCATTTAAAATTACGATTGTGTTATCCGAGGCATGGAGATGCTTCCCCTTGTCATTACATTCCACTCCAAACTGACGACGTTGAGTTATGCAAGGTCCACTTAAACATTCTCCTGAACGCCTGTTGATCTTTCGACGATCTTTCGACGACTTTCAGAAATCGTAAAACTTCAAGCAGACCCTTTGAACTTTATAGATTTTACATGGTATTAATTCCACTCGTCTCAAAAACTTTCTGTGTATAAAGAAAATCTCTCCTTCATAGTGTTAAGTACATGTATCAAGATTCATCTCTAAGACAATGATTTGATTGTGCATTAGTTGGACCCAGTAATGTATCTCTCTGGACCAGGTCCTTAGAGTAAACAATACATTTTGTGACGTTAACATATAATGTTTTATTATCTGGGAACAAATACAACCTTTTCACGTTGGGCAACTCACTGTGACAGAAGGGGTTTAGTCAGGGTCTCACTCCTCTGTTTTATCTGTTTGAACATTCTCCAAATTGCATTACACACTGACCTGACACACTCTGTGAAACATTCAGCGAGTTCCTTTTCCCTTCTTGCTCATTTTATCAGATATTTGGACGGCATATGTAATGACCTTAAAGTTGTCCAATTGGTCCATATTCAATTAATTGGCAAAGGCTGATAACAAAGATGTGCAACAGGTTTGTAGCAGTATGTATGTACTTTAGTTACAAGGTTGTATTAACTACACATACATTACATAACTCATTCATTGGTATTGCTACGTGTATACAATTATGAAAGTAGCAACTGATGCTGGCAGCATTGTAAGGCGGCATCAAGAATGTTAAAAAACGACAAGGTTACTATTCCCTTGGACAAATGTATCACTAACTCTTAGAGGAAAACATAAATATACATACACTGTCAATTGCAGTGATATGATCAGCAGAGGTGCCACGTACATACATGAGTGAGTAAGTGAGGGAATTTGCTTCAATGCCACTTTGAACAGTATTTCAGTTCTTTCTGGGCGTGTGACCTTCGCGCGGGTCGATGCTGTGATATTGCTGGAATAACCTTTTCTAAACACTCAATAAGTCATTGTTCGATCGGCATTCTGGAAGTTGGTGAGTCAAAAATGAAGCTTCCAACTTTATGTATGACAACTTCCTGACTACTGCATAGAGCGACCTTTCGATGTAGATTCTGACACAGTTAACAAGATTCACAGCCATTTGTTATCGACATTAGGCTTTTTTTCACTGAGGAACGACTTCATGTTTCCCATTGTGCAGCATTTTGTAGATCTCTGGTATATGCCCAAAGCCGTGGGGAAAGGTACATGATTAATTTCATTTCACTTAGAAAAGTTTTGCGGACCATATTCATTATAAGGTTATTTACTAGATGTTTTCAATTCGCTACTCACTGTCGTTCTATGGTGACATTTGGAAACTCGTTATATGGTGAGTAAAAGCTGTTTTTATGATCTCGAAATAGCTTACCGAGAATGATGTTAATGATTGATTGATCAAAGCGATGACACTTATTGAACTTTTGAATGTCTGTGTTACAGATAATGACGTTTGCTGGGTATCGCGGACACATGCACTTATGGCTCATGGCACATGCCGCCCAAGGTTTAATGACAGCCTCACGGATCCACCGTTCGTTGTGAAGCAACAGGAAGCCACCGTGGTCTTCAGCAACTGGTGCCAGACTACAGACGTCTTCCTTCATATAGTTCATGGTCTCTTTCAGGGTATGCTGCGCCACAGCATGGCCACCAGCGTAAGTGACAATGCCTCGTCTCTCCACGTCATCCAGCAGCTGAGGGATGGTCTTGTTCCAGAACCGCACAGACGAGTCCATCCACACCAAGATGTCCGTCTTTGGGAGGTTAGCCTGGAATATTGTTATTAATAACAGGTACGTTTTATGTCAAAAGATATCGCGATATCTCACACTATGTTACCGATTAAGTGTAAGTTTACCTGAAGTCAAGGACTCAGGGCAGTATTAGACTAAACAGATGTGTTTCACCAAGACAAAGTATACCATAATTCATAACATAGATTTTACAAAAACGTTAGTAGGCTGAAAACAGTCGCTGAAACACCATAAGATCCAAAATACATACCCTAAATATTTTGAAACAAGAAGACATGGTCATTAATATCCCCCGCCACAGTTTTCTGTTCCCATTTGGTTCCTGTTTTATAACTCCAGCACGACATTCATGTCCTGAAAACGCATACAAAATTTGGTTTCCCTATCTATAACGGTTCTGAGAAAAATCTGTCCCCATTGGGGGATATCATGCACTATGTCAAGAAATGCACGACAAAGGACATAACTCTGCAACAAATTGTAAAACGGTTTCAGTTTCCAGACTCCATCAAGGCATTCATGTCCCGAAAACTCATACCAAATTTGGTTTCCCTATCTATAACGGTTTTTGAGACAATCTTTCATTCATCTCGCATGGACGGAGCTCAAACCAATATTCCCCCTCCCACTTCGTGGCGGGGGATACTAAGTCACGTCGAATTACAATCAAATACAGACGTATATGTTATTTTACCTGTCAGTACAGGTAATGGTAAACTATGCACACATACCCACACGTACAACAAGAGCATACCTGTATGATGAATGGTTTCCATGCGTAGCAACGTAGATTCTGCAGCCTCCACGGCATCAACTCCACTGGGAAACGTCTCAGTTCACAACGACAATCTTTCATCACCTGTACAGCCAAACATTTGACATAAGCTACTTTTCAAACTTTCCATTCATCCCATGGCATATAAATGTACAAACAGTGAATATGACTATAGTACTCATTAATATAGTTATAATAGTTGTACATATTTAAATAGCAATGATACTAATGTTTGTCAAGTATGTGCACTAAAGCATCCATTTTCTGTGGAAGCAGAACACTGTAAAAGGCCCTGTATTTACATGTACAGAGAGTGAATATGATACGCATTAATATATTGGTAATAGTAGTACATATTCAGATAGCAATATTGCTAAGGTGTATCAACTATGTGCTCTAAAGACGTCCATTTTCAGGAGAAGCAGTTAAAGGTCTGAGATATACAAGTACAGGGAGTGAATATAGTACACATTAATATTATTGGTAATAGTTGTACATATTCAGATAGCAATAATACTAACGTGACTCAAGTAAGTGCACTAAAGGCATCTATTCTGTGGAAGCAATTAAAGGTGTAGTATATACATATAAAAGGTGAGTATAGTACACGTTACTATTGGTAATAGCTGTACACATTAGGACAGCAATAATAATAATAAGTCATTTTCTATTGCGCACAGTCTCCAAACACCAAGTGATTGCTCACAACGCTTAATCAGAATCTGATTCCAATAATACTAAGGTGTGTCAAGTATGTGCATTAACGGCATCCATTTTCTGTACAAGCAGTTAAAAGTCTGGAGTTTCTTGGCAATATACTTTTCGATGTTGAAAATGTCTTTAATGATTTTTTTCTTCAAAAGTAATCCTACCTTGTTTAATGCTTTGAATATGCATGTTTTTGTTTGTGATGAGAATAATATGATTCATGTGATTGTGTGTGTG